ATGGGTGGAGTCGATGACCACCGAGTGGGACTTCAACTCTTGACCTTTCTATTGTGAGTAGACCACCTTGTCACAGAAACCCCTGGCCGGATATGATATGATTGTAATAAAAATAACAACCTGAAAATGTGGATACGACTTTTTATAAATATTTAGTTTCCCTAAAATGTTTAAAAGACATTATCTGCATTGCATAACGATTGCATAATACAGCACCGGTTATCGGAATCACACAAATGCCTTCATCGAGACTGGGCGGTGGTGCAGTGATTGGCGCACTGAATTCTGAACCGCATGACCCCCGAGTTCGATTCCCTGCCGGACACCCCCTCTCATCAACCCGAGCTGATGTGCCCGTGCGACGTACGGCCAAACAAGCTCCACAATCTCAAGCCATGTGAAGGGCCTCCATTTAGCAGTGTGTGGGTATTATACAGCAGGCCGTGCGTATGCCGTGAATACGTCGGTACGATCATTGTAACCGAGTGATAAAACTTAGCGATTGAACTCTGTTTCCCAAATGGAACTGCCTCGTTCTGTATATAGTGTCGGTGTCAAATGAGCATGCCCTTCTTTTTCGCGTACAATAACGTGGCACACCCGTCAATGGGGAAACGCACAAATTTAGAAACTTGGCTGTGACGGTTGCCAATAAATGGGACTTTGTGCAGCCCATGAACCCTTCTCTTCCGTTAACAGCACCCGGTAGGTAACCTCCCTTCTTGACGGACAGTTATAAAAAAAACACTGATTTCGACGACGAAAGAGTCACTTCAATTGAGCACCACTGTAAACTGGCTGCAAGCTTATTACCCCATAGCTTCCCGCTACCACCGATGCCAGCAAGCCATGGGTGAGTGAACCGGCGAGTGTGAAGCGGCAGTCTTAATCGCTGAATGACGACCTCACAACCGGCCCCGAGCGAACGAGCGGCAATTGGCAGCTGGTGTCGGGCCGTTTCCTTGGGCCGACTCGACCTGAATTTGAGTATCTGGCAGCCGGCGCGTGACACGCGCAAAGCAAAAAGAAAACAAATCAAACGTGTCGACAATGGCTGTTGAAACCACATTTTGAAGCCAATACAAGTCGTGGCAGAGACACCCAGGGGTTAACGCCAGCCCGAACGGGACAAGCACAGTGCAGTATGTGAAGATAGATGACGCCTCCATTCGTGCATTGAGCATCCTACTACGGCATATGCAATACAGATCCGTGCATAGTCGTGCTCTCTCCCTTAGTAGGGAACAACTAGTGGTATTATTGAAAGACATCTTAAATACTAATAATAAAAACACTGGTGCAACAAAGGAAACTCTCAAGGCATTCCGAGTGGAACGTAAGCGGTTGAAGAGAGCCTGGTTTTTATAACCCTTGAAATAATTCTGCACCGAACTAAACATTTCCTGCTGAGAGAAAAAAACATTGCGTCCCACTTCAATTCCGCCGGCCGTGGTGTTGCCTGGCCAACCACAGGTATATCTGCGGCTTAGAATAAAAGGGGCTTTGCTGGGTTTGATTTGTGGCTAGGGACAATGAGGCCACAAAAGTTGGTTCATCAACGACCAACAAATTTGTCATCGGCCCCTTTTTTGCGGGCGACTACACTCGGGCCCATATTCTTAGCCCGCCAAACATCCAGCCTAATGAAGGCAGGAAACCCCCGGCTGATGATGAGTCCGTCACCTACCCTACTATCCACATTGTTTTCCCGAAAAATATTTTCACGTAATCCGATTAGTCGAGTTGGAGTAATCGATCATTTACATAATCGGGATAGCTCAGCTGTAGTTCGATTCAAGAGTTTACCAGAGGACACGCGGCCACACGTTAGCCACTGCTGGATTATATACATCACCTGATAATTATATTCGTGTATATACAGCGAGCGCCTAATGGATAAACATTGACTCACTCACTACCTATTCAGAGGTTTTTTTTGGAACGTAGAGTATAATTTCAAATATGTATTGGCATAAACAAATACAGAAATGTATAAGCCTATTCATGTTTTCGTCTGTGGAGTTTCTTAAATTCTCAAAATGTGGGTATATAACATATACAAATCCAGATTAAATATTTAACACTTATTTTCTACAGCATGTGGATATGCTTGTCAAAGTAACTTTCTTATATCCCACCTAATTCTACTTGCCCACAAAATGTTTATTGGCATTATGTTGATGCATTAAACATTAAAATTGTATAGTACCATAAAACTGTATTGCGCATTTCAATTGTTAAAGAAACATCTTTGGAGGGGAGATTACTGAGACAGGTATGAGAGTGAGCACCCAGAGGCTGGAGACAAAGCATACGGTCTAAAGCCAGATCGTCGCATACTTTAAGAGTTGTGTATAACCACTGCAAGTGAAGTGTGATCTGTTGGAGAGAAGCAATGACAAGTCGTGGTGGTATCAACACCATTGGCCATGATGAACTCTTTTTTTTAATTAAGGCATCAATTTGTATCTCTTGCAGAGCAGTGCAACAACATCCCCATGGAAATGGATACCACAAAGCTACCTCTGAAATGTCTTCAAGTGACCTACAGTGAGGGAAAAAAGTATTAGATCCCCTGCTGATTTTGTACGTTTGCCCACTGACGAAGAAATGATCAGTCTATAATTTTAATGGTAGGTTTATTTGAACAGTGAGAGACAGAATAACAATAACAAAATCCAGAAAAACGCATGTCAAAAACGTTATAAATTGATTTGCATTTTAATGAGGAAAATAAGTATTTGACCCCTCTGCAAAACATGACTTAAAACTTGGTGGTAAAACCCTTGTTGGCAATCACAGAGGTCAGAGGTTTCTTGTACATAATAAACTGAGGTTTCTTGTAGTTGGCCACCAGGTTTGCACACATCTCAGGAGGGATTTTGTCCCACTCCTGTTTGCAGATCTTCTCCAAATCATTAAGGTTTCGAGCCTGACGTTTGGCAACTCGAACCTTCAGCTCCCTCCACAGATTTTCTATGGGATTAAGGTCTGGAGACTGGCTAGGCCACTCCAGGACCTTAATGTGCTTCTTCTTGAGCCACTCCTTTGTTGCCTTGGCCGTGTGTTTTGGGTCATTGTCATGCTGTAATATCCATCCACGACCCATTTTCAATGCCCTGGCTGAGGGAAGGAGGTTCTCACCCAAGATTTGACGGTACATGGCCCCGTCCATCGTCCCTTTGATGTGGTGAAGTTGTCCTGTCCCCTTAGCAGAAAAACACCCCCAAAGCATAATGTTTCCACCTCCATGTTTGACGGTGGGGATGGTGTTCTTGGGGTCATAGGCAGCATTCCTCCTCCTCCAAACACGGCGAGTTGAGTTGATGCCATAGAGCTCCATTTTGGTCTCATCTAGCCACAACACTTTCACCCAGTTGTCCTCTGAATCATTCAGATGTTCATTGGCAAACTTCAGACGGGCATGTATATGTGCTTTCTTGAGCAGGGGGACCTTTCGGGTGCTGCAGGATTAAAGTCCTTCACGGCGTAGTGTGTTACTAATTGTTTTCTTGGTGGCTATGGTCCCAGCTGCCTTGAGTTTATTGACAAGATCCTCCCGTGTAGTTCTGGGCTGATTCCTCACCGTTCTCATGATCACTGCAACTCCACGAGGTGAGATCTTGCATGGAGCCCCAGGCCAAGGGAGATTGAGAGTTATTTTGTGTTTCTTCCATTTGCGAATAATAGCACCAACTGTTGTCACCTTCTCACCAAGCTGCTTGGCAATGGTCTTGTAGCCCATTCCAGCCTTGTGTACATCTACAATCTTGTCCCTGACATCCTTGGAGAGCTCTTTGGTCTTGGCCATGGTGGAGAGTTTGGAATCAGATTGATTGATTGCTTCTGTGGACAGGTGTCTTTTATACAGGTAACAAGCTGAGATTAGGAGCACTCCCTTTAAGAGTGTGCTCCTAATCTCAGCTCGTTACCTGTATAAAAGACACCTGGGAGCCAGAAATCTTTCTGATTGAGAGGGGGTCAAATATTTATTTCCCTCATTAAAATGCAAATCAATTTATAACATTTTTGACATGCATTTTTCTGGATTTTGTTGTTGTTATTCTGTCTCTCACTGTTCAAATAAACCTACCATTAAAATTATAGACCGATGATTTCTTTGTCAGTGGGCAAACGTACAAAATCAGCAGGGGATCAAATACTTTTTCCCCTCACTGTATCGTCCATACGGTAGGAAGCAGAATTTTCCCACCTGTCTTCAACTAAGAGTAATGCTCATGAACCATCAACTCTCTACACTTGAAAAGCTGATTTAATCATAGGCCTGGAGTTGAACCCAATACCTCAGTGGTTGCCAGCTCAGTGCTCTGACCACTAAGCAATCCGGCCACCTCCGTTCATCGTGACCTCTTAACCTTGACGTTTGAAATCCACATGTAAAAATAGTAGTAAAAAAATTACGCTTTCACATGGGATGCGGTCGGTTAGCCCAAGACCACGATGACTGGCAGACCAAAATAACAACAAGAAGTCCAAGTTTATGTTTACGTTTCTCTTCTACAACGCTAGGTCAACAATAATGATGATGAGCAATCCGTTTTTGGGACAATATTGATGCGCAGTGATGCTAAAAACGATTCCAAATGTATTGTAAAATGCTCACACACGATACTCGGTATTTGCTGTATATTCTTATACTATCAGGTAGCATTAAACAGGCAACAACCTATATTCTTGGTTCTTTTGGTAAAGTCACGTAGAAGTGAAACAATAAAATAAAAAAATAATAAAACATAAAACTATTAAATTCTCACGACGTTTCGACTGCAACACAAGCAATCATCATCAGGTGTGAAAACCACAGCAAGAAAATTTGCTTTAAATATAAAACAATAAAATTCTCACAACGTTTCGACTGCAACACAAGCAATCATCATCAGGTGTGAAAACCACAGCCAGAAAATTTGCTGTGGTTTTCACACCTGATGATGATTGCTTGTGTTGCAGTCGAAACATCGTGAGAATTTTATTGTTTTATGTATATTTTATTGTTTCCCTTCTACGTGACTTTACCGAAAGAACGAAGAATATGAATCCCTGCAGTCACGAAAGCTTTAAATTAAAAGGCAACAACCTGTTGATGATACTCAGTAAAGCGAATCCTTGTGAGAGTCGGCCCGAACAACACTAATTTTACTGGGATGACATTGATCCATAAGGAGCTTTGTTTCGTTGAACACATGTTGCTTCATATCAGTAATTACGTTTGTCACAAATTCAAAAGGTGGCACCTATCATTTAAGCCACTGATAACACTGCTCAAATTATAACGCATTTCTTTCTCTCCTGCCCTTTTTATCGGCCGTATTTTTGGCAACCACTGATCGCTAAACGCGCTTTGCACAACGTTTATATATGTGTAAAAACAAAAGATAAATGATACCAACGAGATATGAACGCAGACACAGCAAAAAAAAAGCACAAACACAGGCTTCGTCCTAATATGCGGCCGTCGTAATGCCGCTGGCTTGGTTGGCTCCAGCCAACCGCAACGCAGCAGTCCTTTAGGCAGAAGGCCCACCGGCATGTGTTTGGGTCAATTTACACGAGAAAAAAAAACGGAGCGGACGCAATCGCCCATTCTCAACGGCCCGCGAGAAAACACGGCGGTGGCGGTGGGGGGGTGAGCGACCTCCACGGGACCACCTCGGTCGAGCCCCCGTGACAGGGGGGGTCATACGGGGGTGAACGCCGCGACCCCGCATTCCGCCCCCCCGAAACGGAACGCTCCGCCTTCCCGTGTCACACCCAGTACTGGTTCTTGCGCAGCGAGGGACTTGTGGTTCGGCAGTACTGCAGCATGTCGGCGTTGAAGTGGCACCAGGCGTACGGGAGGGCGGTGGGACTCGGGGGTGGCGACGGGTTTGCCCGGGCATCCGCCACCATGGCTGCCACGATGTCGGCCTCCGCGCACGGCGATCCTCCGCCGCCGAGCGCCGTCACGGTGACGGTGGGCACCGTGGGGCTCCTCTCCGTGTGGCCCGCTGCGGCCAGGCGGCTCGGGCCCAGGTTGTTGGGCTTGAGAGCCCGGAAGCCCTTCGCGACGTCGCGGCTCCTCCTCCTGGCGATCGCCAGCAAGGCCAGCGCCGCGATGATCGCGAGCGCGACGGCTGCGACGACGACGGGGACGATGACGTTCAGGTTTCCGCCGCCGCCTTCGTCCACCGACTCCGCCGCCGCCCAGTCCGGATCGGGCGACCACGACGGGCTGGGATCGAGGGTGTCGTCGGGGTCGGCACTGCTGTTTTTGTTGCGATTGCCCCAGCGGTCCGAAATTTTGTTCCTCCATCGGGGTGCAGGCCTTCTGGCCGGAGCCTCGCTGTACGGGGACACGGTAGCATTGAATGGCGCCGCCGCCTCCTCCGTGGCCACGTTCGAGCCCACGGCAGTAGCGCCTCCCGTGACAGGGGGGGTTACCGACGAATCGTGTTCTGAAAGTGCTTCGAGGTGCGACGTTATATTGGGCACCGCGGAAGGGTCGAGAGGCACTATGCTGTACGCAAACTCACCCGCCGCTGGCTGGACCCCCTCTGCTCTCAGCACAAACCTAAAGGAATCATTTGCTTGACGCGCATCCGTTAGGTTTACGTCTCCGACTTCCAGGAGGACAAGCCCCATCTCGACGTCGCTCTGGGTGAAACGCGTGACCCCCCGTGCGTCCCGCTTGCCGCGGAGCGAGCGGTGCGCAAGCCGGCCATGCCGCGGCTGCCGTAACACCTCGTAGTGTGGCATGTGACCCGTCAGGTTCGCCAGCTCTCGCGCGTCCAGCATATCCAGACTCACGGGGGTGGCCGTTCCGGCGGGTAGTGCCAGGTCCGCCGGAATCTTAACCAGGGGCATCACCGCAATCTTGGCAACCAAGCCCGTGACGTTGCTCTCGGCGGTAAGGGCACTGAACTCGAAGTCGTCCTCGGATGCCGACATGTTGGTCATGCGGTAGGCCAGCGAGCCCGCGTCGATTTCGGTTTGCGGGAAGGTGTCCACCCTGCTGCCGTTGAGCAGCAAGAGGCCGGCCTGCGGGCCGCGCGTGACCCGGTACGTAATCTCGGCGCTCTGCCCGTTGGTCTCGCCCGCGAGGTGGCCGTGCGTCACCACGATCGTCGCTTGGCCCTGCACGAGCTCCACCACGCTGTGGTTCACCAACCGGACGGACAGCGGCTCCACCGCCAGGTTAAAGAGGGTGAAGAGCGGGCGGTGGACTCCGTCCGTCACGCGGAAGTAAAAGACGCCGGACGCGGGACTTCCGTCCTGCACGAACACCACGCGGCCCGCGTCCACGTCCGCCTGCGTGAACTCGCTCACGGCGACGCTCGGGCTGTCGTTGAACGCGACGCGCCCGTTGTTCGGTCCGCTGATGATCGTAAACTGTAATTCGCGCGCCGGATTGTCCAGGTCGACGACTTTCAGGTTGCGCTCGGCTATCGTGGCGGTGAAGCCCTGCACGACGCTCAAGCCCGGCGTCTTGGTCTTGAGCTCCGGCGCCTGGTCGTTGACGGGCAGCACGTCGATGAGGAAGACTTCCTCGACGACGAGCGAGTCGCCGACGTCACCGCTGCCATCCGGTCGGCCGGCGCGTTTGTTTTTGGGGTTGGGAAACGCGACGAAGGTGAAGTTGTCGCGGGCGTCCTCCGAGCCGTCGTGCCGATAGCGCAAGCCGTGGCGGTCGAGGTTCGCCTGGGAAACGTACGGCTTCTCCTTGGTCACGTTGAAGCTGCCGAGCCACAGGAAGCCGTGTCGGGGCAGGACGGTGACCTGCAGGTACACCTCGTGCGAGCCGCGCTGCTCCTTCGCGAGCTTGGCCAGCAGGTTCGAGGCGTCCAGGTTCGACTTGTTTATCGCCACTTCTTGGCCCTCCACCACCGTCGCTCCTGTCAACACGTGGACAACGAGGGACGTGATGTCAAAGGGAGCGTAAGAACACACGGGTATATTGGGAAACACATTTCCGTGGGGAAACACGCCGATAGAGCACTTGAGTAGTCACGGTTGCTCCGACAAGCGTCCCTCGATGGTTTACGTGAACGTTACGTAGCTCAAGAGAGGCGGATGCGACACCTTAGTCACAGGCAGCACGAAAGTGTTGGCTGTGGAACGTTACACCGTTTACAGGTTTTACGTTCGGAGTACGTGGATGTATGCGTGCGTGTGTTTACGGCACGCGTTTATAGTGCCAGCACACTACGCCACGTATTTGGACGCCTACGTTAAGGTCCTGGCCAGGGCAAATGTCAGTGGGTAAAGTAGTGTCTGGGACTCCCCTAGGTTGACTCAGTCTTAAACGGTGTGTAAACAGCACTGGGAAGACGAAGGAAGTCAGCGCATTGTAGACTGCACCGTCAGACAGGCAGTAATAGCTGCTAGTTACTCGCAATTGCCCTCCAGTCTATAAGGCTCAACAGGGGAGCTGTTTTGTGTATAAATTAACGAGGTTTTATGGATGGTTGAAGTCACTCGCCATTGTCCAAGTAATACACGTAACATATGCCTGTACTCCGTCACAAATATGGTTCCGCAAGCTGTTTCCAATCTACAGGAAAACAGCTGAAAATAGTCGTGCTCTGTGTAAACACGTGCAATCCAGCGTGACACGATCGCAAAGTAAAGTACAGTTACATACGTGGCCTAACCCAAAAAAATCTATTATGAATCCCATATCTTCCATTTACAATGATACTCACAAACATTCTCTGTGCACTGCGGACGTACAGCTATATTACTTATAATGTTTCTAACATTTCAATGTACGTTACATTTAAATCTAAACATAAGTGTTTTATTTCCACCCGACCTCGTCGTTGGTGGATTAAGATTGAAAAATTAACAGGAGGAGTGAGGCGACTCGTGTCTTACACGTTTAAAATGTTCCCCAACGAAGCGCACCATCGTATGCACGTGTTAAGGTGGGATGCCGTGCTCAAGGCAGTTTGGGACAGCTTACATAATTCAGCGGTTGCAGCAGAAGGTGTAACAGGACTCTCGATCGTCCGGATAAAGGTCGGTTACTCTCCCGCAAGGAACGACACCGCGCCAGTGGTCCAGCGCTTCGTAGAATTCGTCGCTGCCTCATCTCTGCCTTTGTAAACCACAACAGGCAGGAGATATTCTCAAACAGCAGAGGATGCTGGTTGAGGATGATATTTGCGATCTACGATCTTGCTTCTCGGCTACAATATCGGTTGAATTATGTGCTGCAAAATAAACCCTCTTTCCGGTGAACTTATTAAATCACCTTTTTGGTTCTTTCGGTAATGTCACGTAGAATGGAAATAAAATAATAAAAATAAAACATTATCAAATAAAATTCTCACGACGTTTTGGCCACAACACAAGTAGCCTTGTTTTGGCAAGTAGCCTTGTGTTGTGGCCAAAATGTCGTGAGAAATTTATTTTATTGTGTTTTATATTTATTATTTCATTTCCATTCTACGTGACTTTACCGAAAGAACCAAAACGATGAATCCCTGCAGTCACGAAAGCTTTAAATCGAAAATTATTAAATCACAACAACTGACGCAATCAAATAAACTCTGCTGCCATTCTCTCCCCCCACCCTTGCTAGCTATGTCATGAACCTCGTTCTCCGCCTCCATAAAGGACCCGCACTGAATGGTCTCACACCTATCTGGATTGTTTTGGTCTCACACCTACCAGGATTGTTTTGGTCTCACACCTACCAGGATTGTTTTGGTCTCACACCTATCAGGATTGTTTTGGGCTCACACCTATCAGGATTGTTTTGGTCTCACACCTATCTGGATTGTTTTGGTCTCACACCTATCAGGATTGTTTTGGTCTCACACCTATCAGGATTGTTTTAGTCTCACACCTATCTGGATTGTTTTGGTCTCACACCTATCAGGATTGTTTTGGTCTCACACCTATCTGGATTGTTTTGGTCTCACACCTATCAGGATTGTTTTGGTCTCACACCTATCTGGATTGTTTTGGTCTCACACCTATCAGGATTGTTTTGGTCTCACACCTATCAGGATTGTTTTGGTCTCACACCTATCTGGATTGTTTTGGTCTCACACCTACCTGGATTGTTTTGGTCCCACACCTATCTGGATTGTTTTGGTCTCACACCTATCTGGATTGCTTTGGTCTCACACCTATCTGGATTGTTTTGGTCTCACACCTATCTGGATTGTTTTGGTCTCACACCTATCTGGATTGTTTTGGTCTCACACCTATCAAGATTGTTTTGGTCTCACACCTATCTGGATTGTTTTGGTCTCACACCTATCTGGATTGTTTTGGTCTCACACCTACCAGGATTGTTTTGGTCTCACACCTATCAGGATTGTTTTGGTCTCACACCTATCTGGATTGTTTTGGTCTCACACCTATCAGGATTGTTTTGGTCTCACACCTATCAGGATTGTTTTGGTCTCACACCTATCTGGATTGTCTTGGTCTCACACCTATCTGGATTGTTTTGGTCTCACACCTATCTGGATTGTTTTGGTCTCACACCTATCTGGATTGTTTTGGTCTCACACTTTCACACCTATCTGGATTGTTTTGGGCTCACACCTATCTGGATTGTTTTGGTCTGCGAGAAGAGGTTTGGTATTTATTTTCAGCCGCTGGATTTTCTGTTTGCACAGTCACGTAGTCACTTTAAGATGTTTTCTTGTTCATGTTCATGTTTTTGTTTTTTGTTGCGGTTGCACCCGATTCAAGAGCCGAATGGCTCACAGGGCTATACCAAATAAATGTAACTATGAACTATGAACTAAATAGGCCCAACAATTTTCTGCGCACGAAGGCCCGTTTTTTTCTTTGCCTTCATTTGGCATTGGCGTTACTCTCGCGACTGACGACCTCGTTCATATTATTATTTACCATGACGCACATATATGTATAGTTGTTTATAATATACAAATGAAAGACAATTGTAGCTGTGAATTAGTATGTTGTATTTGGTGACGTGCAGAAGTTAAAATCACGAGCATATGAAGTTTTAACGTAACTGAGATCAAATATATTCCCAATTTCCGTCATCAACATTACAGAAATCTGTGTATTTGCTGTGGGACAGCGCCACACGCTGCTAGATCTCGGGAAGTGATCGCTGCGAGCCACATGAAGCGGATAGCCAATCCTGAAATTACTGCTAGAACTATTATTGTTCGTTCATATTCTTGGTTCTTTCGGTAACCAAGAATATGAATCCCTGCAGTCACTAAAGCTTTATATCAAAATTTATCGTTCGTTCGTTTCTCAGTTCGTTTGTCTGGTGAGGGTCACGGCGGCAGTGCGTTAAGTAGTGGCGGTCCACACCTCCCTTGCCCTGGCGACAGACTCCAGCACTATACACTACACTATACACTACTACACTATACACTACTACACTATACACTACTACACTATACACTACACTATACACTACTACACTATACACTACGTACTATACACTACTACACTACACTATACACTACTACACTATACACTACTACACTATACACTACTACACTATACACTACACTATACACTACTACACACTATACACTACGTACTATACACTACTACACTACACTATACACTATACACTACTACACTATACACTACACACTATACACTACTACACTATACACTACTACACTATACACTACTACATTATACACTACTACACTATACACTACTACACTATACACTACTACACTATACACTACTACACTATTATACACTACTGCACTATACACTACTACACTATACACTACGTACTATACACTACTACACTATACACTACTACACTTTACACTATTATACACTACACTATACACTACTACACTATACACTACGTACTATACACTACTACACTATACACTATTATACACTACTGCACTATACACTACTACACTATACACTACGTACTATACACTACTACACTATACACTACTACACTTTTATACACTACTATACACTACTACACTATTATACACTGCTACACTATACAATACTATACACAACTACACTATACACTACTACACTAGACACTACTAGACTTTACACTATTATACACTACTATACACTACTACACTATACACTGCGTACTATACACTACTACACTTTACACTATTATACACTACTATACACTATTATACACTGCTACACTATACACTACTATACACTACTACACTATACACTAGACACTACTAGACTTTACACAATTATACACTATACACTACTACACTATACAAAGGAAAGAAATGTATCAAGGATCCAAAGAGTAGTTGTAGAAATGTCCCAAGCCACTTGTAATGGCTTCCTTTGCTTAAGAGCTAGTGATCACAACCGCACATTAAGATCTCTGACGACAGTTCCACATCTTGCGACTGTGTGTGCTTATGTCCCTGTCGCCTGCGCTCTACACCATTTAACGCACTACGGCGCCGTCGATTTTTTTCTACGCGCAAGTAGAAATTTTTGCCAACGTGCACCCAGCGGTTGCGCTTAGACGAGGAAAATAACACAGGATGCAGAACACAATGCGGTCTGCATGACAAAGGCGACGCTTGGCACAAAGTGTCCCGACAAAAAACAAGCACGATGCAAAAAGCTGTCCCGCACACTTTCTGTCGTAGCGTCTCGTAAACAAAAATCAACGATGACAAGGATTTGCCCTCTCTGGAGAGAGACACAAGTAAAGCTAGATGTGTCCTTACAAGGATTCAAACGGATGGACGTGATGTAATTAATTGGCCACGTTCTGTTTACGTGACAACCCTTACTAGTCGGCTGTGTCGGGTGGTGGCGGGTTTTAACGACACATTTTTATATTTACACGATCTAACCCATGATACCTCTATTGTGAATTTAACATGAGTTCCACTGTGTGGCCCCACATACAGATAGTCCCCGAGTTACGATATTTCGATCTTACGATGGCAATACGACAAAATTGTAAAATATTTATATTTCGCGCGGCAGGCAAACGTTGAGACGCTGCCGGGATGTACGCATCTCCCGCCTTGTGCGGTGATGCCTCACTCTCACCAGCGGTCGACGGAGTTAAGTTGTCTCGGTGTTAGCGCGTGTATTTTTTTTCTCCTGGGTAGGCTAGGGCCATCTTCGACTTACGATATTTTTGACTAACGATGAGGTCGTCGTAACGCATCTCCATCGTAAGTAGAGGACTGTACTTTACAGAGGGTGTTTCTGTGTTGCAGAGGCTTCACTGATGGATGTTGGAAAATGTATCTCTCTATTCTTCACCCAATTTTTGTTTTTGTTAATCCTTGGGGCTCCACAGAGGGAACATTTTACGAGCCTCTGGCCCCGGTCTACAATGGGAAAGTAAAATGACAGCTTAAGGAGACTTTCACGCGACTGAGTAGCTGTGTAAATCAAATTGTCCAAACTCAGTGGTGTAATGTGCCACCTACGAGGATATGCAGCCACCTAGAAAGGGGAGGCCTTTACAAAGCAGTCGATTGACCATGGCTAAAGAAGACTGATGATGATAGAAAGTGAAAATCTGCTGCATATATTATCAGAGCATGTTTTTTTGCATGTTCACCACAAGTTCTGCGTGTGATTAATGCAGACTTGATGCCTTGCAAAAGGTATCAAATTGGTGTTTGAGCATCTTAACACCTGCTTTATTGCTTTATAGAAGGGGTGGGAAACGTTCGGCCCACGGGCCTTATACGGCCCGCAAAATCATTTGGTGTGGCCCTGCCAAGGCAACCGCAGGTGGGACTCGAAATTCAATAAATCTAGGAGCAAACCCGGAAAAACAGTTGCAAGTAGCAACATCATCAATACCAGCTAACATCACACACGCCTCACCAAAGAGAAGCAGTTCCAGCCATCACATTAGGGGTGAGTTAATTAAATGTTTGACCAAATATAACGGGCTAATTTTTAAGTTGATAATTTTGTATGGCCCGCGAATGATGTTATAAATATCCAAATGGCCCTTGGCAGAAAAAAAAGGTTCCCCACCCCTGCTCTATAGGGTAAAACCTATTATTATTTTTCATACTTTGATATTTGCGAAAAGGTCCCATAGAGATCAAACTGAATATTATTTATTGTTCCGATGATACCGAAATATGCCCCCGCTAATGAGACACAACGGCGGCGGATCGTTCAGTGGTCGGTGTGTGTTCGCGTGAACGTGCTGTTATCTCCGCGCACACTCACCTGTGTTGGCGAGCAGCACGCCGCTCCTCCCGGCCGCGTTGTCGAAGGACACGCTGATGTGGAAGGTCTGTGCGGGCAGCTTGGAGGGCATTGACGAAGCCTGGAAGACGAAGGAATCTGTGGTGCTCCACTGCCCCATGTCGCCTCCCCGATGCTCGTACGCAATCAGTCCCTCCGCCACCTGGCCAATCACAAACGCAGCTCCGATCAGCGCGGTTGGCTACGCACGGTGCGAAAGAAGTTCAACATACATGCATATATAAGTTGCACTTTGGCTACCGCTAGATGGATCGGGGCGTTATCACACCTTTCCGCAGAATGAAAGCTGAACAAACTGCCACGTGGTTACGAGACATTTTACCCACAACGAACTAAAGGTGCAGCCCTGAAATGTCTTTGCTCACACCACTGCGGGCAGAAGGGCCTCCAAGATAGAGAGGCTCTAGAGGGCCCCTGATAGAGCGTTTGCTGACCTACTCTTTGACGCTCGTCAGAAACCTCGGAGGAAGGTGGTGGCAGCACGCACGCTTTAACTCGCATCACGTGACGCGACTGTTTGTGCACACATTGATATGGATGTGTGTATGCGGGTGGGGGGGAGGGGCATTTAAGAAACTTCCCCATTGTTTCAGTGGGAGATCGAACCGGCGACATCACCTCTAAATTGTGAGTTCGGTGTGCACACCCGATACACTGGCGGCAGCATCCCCGTATTTTTTCCAAAGTATTTTATGAACAAAACGATATCAGGTGCACAACACAGAGGATATGAACGGGGGGTTGACACCAGCACCAAGCACATTTCGGATTACAGTGCAATGGAAACCGGTCTGACCCGCATGTTTCAATAAACTGCTTCAATAAACTCTACAATCCCGTGGTGTCTTCCTAAGCTCCTCTGTAGAAGAAGAAGAAAAAAAAGGGAGGGGGGGAGTGCCTAAATGCCTTCATGAATGCCCTTAATGCAGCGTCCCCATAATTTAAAGAGACATTTTGAATGGCCAATAGTTATGCCCCTAAAGGCGCCCGCACCTCCGCTTGGGTGAAGCTGTCTACGGCGGCCGTGGCGTTGTTGGCTCCAGTCCGCACGATGCGGCCCAACCCGGGCTTGTCGATCACGGAGTAGACGACGGAGCGGTTGCTGGGGAACTTGTCGTCGTTGGTGACCACCTTGAGGTCCTGCTCAGTGATAGGGTGCAGGGTCCCTGGACGAGGAGTGCCGCACACGCAGAGAAGCAGAGGCACGCACAGAGCATCTCGTGACTTGAGTTTACAAATCTCTGGAACGTGCAGCTCGATAGCTCTGCTGTGTGGGCTTTACCTGATGAGATGAAACAATTGTTTAGTTGTATTTGTATATTTTTAAGTCATTTGTTCACATAATGGGATCTCCTTTGCCAGTACCAAAATATAATAGGGCTTTCCCCTTTTTTTCTGGCAACAAACAGGTGTTAACATGTCAAAACACCAAACTGAAACCTTTTACAAGGAATCATGTCTGCATTAACCACAATGCTTGTGGTCAGAATGCAAACAAAAAACATACTCTGATAATATGCATTGTCCTTGAAACTGATTGGTCCACACTAAAGACAGCTTTCTTTTGAGCCTCGTCTCAAACGGTGTTAGACCAGAGGACGCCAAAAGGCGTATTGTGCTCCTATCGTGTTTTTGTACTGTTTGTTGTTGTAACGTTCTGACCCCGTGTCCCGACTGGACATCTGTGAAAAAGAGCTTTATAGCTCATCGAATTCCTCTAGGATACATAATATTCTGATTCTGATGTGTTCATCTAATCTCATTGAAAAAAAGAACGTAAGACTTGTTTTGTATTTCAGAATTGGCGAGCTGTTTGTTATGGTCAAAGGCTCTTGTTGGGAACAGAGAGAGTAGACATGTTGATCGAGTTATAGTTGGGAGTTGCACTCTACAGACATCAGTGTAAAGTGTGACCTTCAATATGTCAATGTATCTGCCCTCTCTCTATCGAGAAGAAGAGCCATTGTCTAAAATGTTCGACCATTACATAAATATCTAATTTATATGAAGTTTTAATTGTGAACATGGCGAGCACTTAAAATTTTTAAAATTTGTACTTGTGCATCGCTGCCAACACATTTCCTTTCCGCCTTGTTTGATTCAATGAGTTTTCGCACCACAAGCAAAGACAAATCTGGATAACTTCCTTATTTCATTTTTTCTTCCAAAAATACATTCGAAGGCAAAGTGTCAACATTCATATGCAGCTCAAGGGAGGTATATAAATGGCAGGCAATTTCTGTATACCACAATTTATTTTACTGAAGCATTTTCAATACATATATGACGAATATTTGTTTAATCCTGATTTGTTCACGAATATCAAGCTGCTGCTGCTGCTGCCAGATGAACTTTGCTATACGTGTGAAAATAAACGAAACCAAACGTATCATTTTCTGTCGCCATCAACCGTTAGCGCCACGTGCGTGTCCACCAGGGCACGGGATGGGGCGACACTAAGGGCAAGAGTGAATTGAGAGCGCGCCAGGGCCCTCACCGGGGTAGACGCTGAGTCCGTTGTTGACCTCCACACTGAGGACGAGCGGCTTGGCTGTGATGCTGAAGATCTGACGAGCAGCAGAGTTCACTCCATCCGTGACCTGGAAGTTGAATCCTCCAGAGGTCGCTCCTAAGGGCAGAGGTGAATAGACTATGTTAGATTTAAAGGGCAGGAATGTTTTCTGCGTAGAGGATATGAAATAAAAAAAAAACAATGTAAGCTTTAATTAAAGCACGTGGGTACAGTGCATATAACAAAGCCAGCTGGAATGGCCAGCTGTGAATAAGGCATATATTTATCTAAGTATAGCCGAAGCTCAGCTCAACCACATTGGAAATAGCATCCCGTTGTAGCACAAGAATCCTCTTGTCAGAATCCCATTCAATTCAATGCAGATTTTAACGTAGCAATCGCCTGGAGAGGAATCGCAACTCCTGTGGGGATCATCCAGGCTGGATTCATGTGAATCGAACGCGAATTTCTGCAGGAATCGCATCATAATAGTATTACAAAGGGCAAACAGGCCTGCACTGGCCATAGGGCAGCAGTCCATCGAGCAAATGGCTGGAGGGCCGGTCCATTCTGAGAGCCGGTGGGCCAGTCTGTGTGTATTACCTCTAATGTGTATACCTCATTGCTTATTTTACACTCTCAGCTCACGTGAAGTCCCCGTATATTCAACAGCCGCAAAACATCTTCCTCACCGGTCCCCCCCATTTGTATTTTTGGACCAAGTCCCAAATGGGCGAACGGGATCGCACGACAATTTGGGCCCGGTGTGTTTACAAATTTGCCTTGGGAGCGATTTTTAGTCAAAAGTGCTGCCACTGCGAGCGAGCGACGCAGAGTTCCGTGACGCGGAGGCCTCACCGCGGTGCGCGAAGACGAGCGAGCCCGAGTCGACGTCCGCCTGCGTGAAGTTGAGCACCGGCTGGTTCGGCCGCTCCCTCAGGGCAACCAGGCCGTTGCTGGGAGGGGAGATGGAGTACGCCAACTCTTCCGGGGGGGTGTCTTTGTCCTCCGCCCTCAGGTCGGCTGACGTGATCTCCGTCACGGAGCCTACCCACACCTGCCAACGCATTTGGATGCGCTTATTTTTTTACAATTACTATACGCACTCACGAATAACTCCGACGAGTTCGACATTCTCCAAGCGCTGGAAAAACCAGAACAAGTGATGCAATTTCCAAAAAAAGAGAAGGGGCTGCCCTGAAATTGCTTGCTCATGCTGCCACCATTGGTGGAAGGACTTCCATTGGAGGGAGCTCTAGAAACCGCGTGTTCAGAGTGTTCTGGCTTAACCTTACACGCTGGCCAGACGTCTTGGAAAAAGTAGGAGTACCCACACTTTACCCCACCACACGTAACCTGCCGATCGACTCACTTTGGTGGGTAGCAGGTGGGAGGAATTAAGCAACTTGCACCGCTGTTTCAAATGCCATGCCAGGTGATTGACCCGGTGACCTCTGGTGAGCAAGTCTGGTGTGCTAGCCAAACCGCAAAAATCCACCTCTATAGAAAGTAAACCGATTCGTACAAAAAAACCAAGACAATGTTTATCCAGCCACAGCTGGCAAACGACTCTTTTTGGGGCATGCCACCCTCTCTTTCTCTGCAGTTGGGGGCTCGGGAAGAAGAACCCAAGGTGTTTCGTGGTAGAATCGCCTGACAATTTGACGATTTGTTTTTTACGTAAGCGTGATGTATTACGTTCGCACTACATTGATTAACTATTCAATTAATTTGACCCGTTAATTTATATTTTGATTTAAAGCTTTCGTGACTGCAGTAATTCATATTCTTAGCTCTTTCGGTAAAGTCACGTTGAAGGGAAACAATAAAATATATATAAAAAATAAAAATTCTCACGACATAAAACAAAAGCAAAATACTCGATGACTCATTCTCCTCTCATCTGCTCAATCGAAGGACACGAATGAAATCATCACAGCACTAACAGGTATCTACAGCACTCCGGAACATCCCGCATGATGTAGTCGCTTAAAGCACCAGCGAGTGGCACGGCAGCTGGACGAGCACGTGGCTACGCCACTGTGAACTCACACAGCTGGCCAGCTCCCCCGCGAGGCTCCGCGCGACGACGCCTCCTCACCTTCAGGACCTGGTTGGCGGCGACGACGGGAGGCTCGTCGTTGACGGCGGAAACGGCGACCGGCACGACCATCGGCTTGCTGCGCTTGTGCAGTTCGTCGTCGACGGCCACCAGCGTGAAGTTGTCATCGCGGGTCTCGCTGCCGTCGTGGACGTAGTACACCAGCTCTCGCTCCACCTGCGCAGATGCAGCGGCCGTGGGGGGGTGGAGGGGGGGTGGGGTGGCCGTGGTCATCATCGCAGAGGCCGACGGTGCTGACAACCGTTCCCGATACAAACCAACCAGGGGTGCGGCGATGGAGCAGTGGTTAGCGCACCGCGTCGTTGTGAAGTTCCTATTTACTTATTTACCAGGTTAGGCCAACTGAGCTATGTGGCTCTTTTTTTCAGAAGTGACCTGGCCATGAATGATAGCTCAACGAGGTGGCTTATCATCACGTGCATATTTATAACAGCCAAATACTCCTCCTGCACACCAAGTGAGGTGGTTAACATCTCCCAGCTACCGAGGCGCCCAATCGTCTGAGAGCTTCCCGCCTCGACGACCTCGACCTCATCACGGCGAGAGTTTCGACGCCAAGGAGCGGCCTCCGCACCTGCCGACTGGTGAAGGCGGCGAGGGCCACTCCAGGTTGGTCGACGCCCTCCACGCGCCCGTGCTTGGGTGGCTCGGACACCCGGAACTCGAGTTGACGCCTCGCGAAGTGGGGGCTGTCGGCGGCGACGAGCAAGGCCGCGGAGCCGCCCTCGCGCACCGCCAGCACGCCGCCGCCCGGCAGCCGTAGGGGGATGAGGCGCGGCAGGACGTCGACGGCCACCAGCAGTGCCGGCAGTGGCGCCGACACGCCGTTGCCCACGTCCAGGGAGAAGCTGTCAGCAAGCTGCGGGCCCGTTAAAGAGGTCGGTAGGTAGGTAGGTAGGGCGGGGAGGGGAGGGGAAAAAAAACACGAATTTTGGAAAATATATCGCCAATGTCTTTAATGCTGACGGTTGTTTGCGGATTTATAAACCCCGGTATACAACTTTTTTTTTTACCACGTAAGGCCCACCGAGCTATATAGCTATTTTTCAGAAGCGACCTGGTCACAAATGATAGCTCAACAAAGTGGCTTATCACGTGGAAATGTATAGCAGCCAAATACTCTACACACGTTTCTAAATGTCGAGGGAATAACCGGAGGACCCGGAGAAACATCTATGCAACCGCGGGGAGACACAAACTCCAAATATACAGCAGGCGTCAGGGTTGGGATCGAACCCACGACCTCCCGTGACGCTACCGATTGATAGTTGCTAATTAAACACGTGCTTAATGTGTTTAACTTCGTAGAATGACCGTAGCATTACTACGTGTGGGGTCGGGAGGCTGCCCAGTTCTCTGGCCTCCCGCTTCGCTGAAAGGAGATTGAGGAGAGTCCAAGGATGGCTGTGAGGCCACGAGATGGTGCTATAGCAGTGATCCCCGACTGACTGACTGGGTTGTGACTTTTTATTACCTTCATTGAAGGACGTTTACAGTACGCTTCGGACTGTCCTGCTATGGGAATGGTGACTGCCGAACGACAGTCAAACTCATATTTTAATTCCCAAAGCTGGAATTTTGTCAAATGAAGTGAAAAACCACCGGTTCCTGATGGTGAAATATTGCCATACGGTATGGGGAAGCCTCATAAAATGTGACACTCAGGGCACCCCATTTTGTGGACACATAACACTCACATGCCACTCACTTGAAATTCACCACTCACCAGTCATCAACCCACCTGACCCTCACCACTCACTCGATACCAGTCACCAATCACTGGACGCTTGACATCGGAACATTAAATATATCCGCTGTATATCACAACGCTCGTATACGTACCACGGAGTGATTAATCCAACCTAGAAATGTTGCCATTTATTTCTGCTCGCGCGAGACCATGAGAAAGCCATCGAATGCCAAATTCACGAAACCTAAACCTGCGAACCCCGTGGCTTGGTGGGAGTCAAGACTTACGGAGGGTGCGAGCGAGCGCCTACCTGTCCAGGCGAGGTGTGGACGTACTGCACGCGGTTCAAGTTGACGTCCAGCTGCGTGAAAGCCTCCAGTTGCTGTGCTAGCGAGCCCTCGTACTGTTCCTCCTCCTCCCCGTTCGCCACCAGACGACGCAGGAAGCCGTGCTGGGGCGGCTCCCTCACCGTGAACACCAACTCGGCCGGCGGGCTCACTTCGTGCGTGACCTGCCGCACCGCGGGAAACGCAGCGACATCAGACGCGTGTAACTCGCGCTGACGAAGCGTGGAAGGGAAAGGTAAGGGGCGCGGCCCCCAGATGTCTCTCCTCAAGCCATCGCTGGCAGGAGGGCCTCCGCTAGAGGGAGCAATTTTGGCAACTCTTCCACGCTGGCCCACAATTTATCTCACCACATGCGAGCTGCTGACCGACAGTGGTGTACCCGTTTATACTGCTGCGTGGAGAGGGGGTAGGGGTTGGATTTAGTGGGCAATTTTCCAAATTTGGCAAAGTTAGACCGCGCACATGGCCGGCTCTCTTTCCACCATGTGAAGCAGACAGCGTGGTATTTTTGGTTCATAAAACCACAGAATTAACCAGGGCGGCTGCTGGCATCGATTTGTAAATCTCTGCAACAAGTGGAAAACGCGCTATCGCATCGTCATGTCGTCAGCCTGGATGAATATCACACGCACTTTGTCATCTCTGCGCCCTACACCGACGCTCGTGCTGAACTTTGCAGGAGCAGCGCTGCAGCAATCGTCACCACCGCCGCACCTGAAGGCTGGCGCTGCCGATGGACACGGGCTCCTCCTCTCCCACGACGAGGCTCGCGTTGCGCACGACAGCGGGTGGCTTCTCGTGGCTCTCCAGGAATATGCGAATGGACAGGGAGCCCTCCACCGGCATCCCCGCTCCCTCGCCGTGCCCTCGCAGCTCCACGGCGAATCGAAAGCTATCGCGCAGCCCACCGTGGCCGCCGTCGTGCCGGTACATCGCCCGACCCGTCTGCAGGTCGCGCCGCGTGAACGACTCGGCCGGGTGGCCGTCCAGCAGCAGCCGCCCGTGCCTCGGCGACTCGGTCACCCGAAACGTGACGTCGCCCTCGTCCCGCACGTCCACGTTGGTGTCAACGCTCAGGTTCGCCGCGGCGATGGCCTGCGTGTGTCCCCTGCGCACGAGCAGGCCCGTGCCGTTGTTGACCCGGGCGTACGGCTCGCTCGCCACGACCTCCAAGAGCGCGGTCACCTGGTGCTTCCCGTCTGACACCCACAGGACGAAGCGACCCTGGTCCGCGCCCCGGTGCGCGAAGAGCACCCGGCGCTCCGCTAGATCGCCCTGGCGGAACTGGTAGAGCCTCTTGCTGGGGTCGTCCGCCGCCACCAGCTCGCCGTTTGGGATGCCGCGCCTTGTGTACACGAGCGCGGCGTCGTCCGAGTCGACGTCGGCATCGTAGTAAGCCAGGTCGGAGAGGGTGAGCAGCTTGTGGCCATTCCGCACCACCCGGAGTACGCGGTCCACCATGCGGGCGGGCTTCTCGTCGTTCCGAAGCTGCACCGTGACGTTGAAGGCGTCGTTGAACGCTGACGAGAAATTCAGGTCCGTGGGAGTGGCGGAGAAAGTGAACCGGTCTTCGCCGGTCTCGGAATCGTCATGAATGTACATGAGCCGTTTGTTCACTATGTCCTCGTTTGTGAAGGTTGTTACATTGTCGTTACTATCTGCAGAGTCGGAGAGGTTGATTTTCTTGAGTTTTCCATGCCTTGGGCTTTGTGTAATCTGGTAGCGAAAGTTTTGTGTGTTTAGGGTTTCCAAAAACAGCTCGTTCTTCGTAATCAGTTTTCCCTCACCTTCTATGACGCTAAGCCCATTGTTAGTAACTTCAATGGCCTCGGAATCGGCTTTTATTGTAAAACGAAAACTGTGCAATTTGGACTTGAGGCGCTGGGCCAAAACGTGAAACCATACGGTGTCTTCCATGTCGGACTTGGCTCTTTCCTTCAGCAAGTAGGAAACGCTTCCACTCCTCACGTCGCGCTGCGTAAACGACGCGTTGGCCGTCAACTTCACGTCTCCCAGGTACAAATGACCTTTAGCGGGCAGGGTAATGATGTCGTACTTAATGTCTGCGTCACTCACTTTGGCCCCCTCCACTCGCGTCTGCAGGTTCTTCTGTGTCAAGTGCGCTCGCTCGACCTTGTCAAGCTCCAAGGGCCTGTTGTTCGCGACCTTGAGCTTCGCCGGACTGACACGGATCGCGAATTCCTGCGGCTCCTCCAAAACCTTTCCGAAAACGGACACCTTGAATCGGAAGCAATCGGTGACGCCGGCGGCGGCAATGTTGGCGCCATCGCTGAGGGCGTAGCTCACGTGCTTCCTCTCCATCGCGCGCTGTGTGAACGACTCAGCCCTTCTCCACCTCCCGTTGGATTCGTACAGCCGCTGGATTTCCCCGTACTTGGGTAGCTCCGTGATGCTGTACTGTATCTCCACGTCCTGGTCCGCTGCGTTGGTGCGCACCGAGAGGTTTGCGGTGAGAATCAGCGCCGATCCTTCCAGCGCCGACACGGATATCCCGGTGTTGTTCTCCATGCCAAACTCACCGGGGATCGCGAGGAGCCGGAGCACCACGGTGTTGCTCACCTTTTCCCCGTCGCTCACGCGCAAAGCGACCCGCGAGTTCCTGATCAAGCCGTGGTGCACAAAGTACACGTCCCCCGCCCGCATGTCCGCGTAAGAAAAGTACGTGATGACCTTGCCCGGTTCCCGTGTGCTCTCCAGGTGACCGGCTCCCGCGTTCAAGTTGCCCAGGACGGAGATCTTCAGTTCGGCGGCGTCTGTGTCCGCGTCGATGGCTTGCACTACGTCCGGGGTGAGCTTTTTCCTACTCTGTTCCACAAGCGTGAACAGGTTCCCAGTTGGAAGCACCAACTCCGGAGGATCGTTTACCGGCAACACGGTTATGTTAAAGACGTACCGCTCCTTCAGTCCATTGAGGAGGACGTTGGGCATTTTATTACTCTTGCCGGTTACGTAGAGCTCGAAGGTGAACGTGTCACCCGGGGCCTCGGAGCCGTCGTGCACGTACACCACCCGCTCCTGAGACACGTCAAGGAGGTTGAACACCGCGTGTGCTGCGCTCGGTGCATCTGACTCCGGCAGGACACCACCGACCCTAATCTTGCCGTGCCACGGCCCGCTCAAAACTCTGAAGAACAACTGCGATGGTCGATTTCCCAGCAGCTGGAGGTTCACGTTCGTTCTGATATTTTTGGAATTCAAGTTTGCTTTCCCCCCTTCCAGTAACTCCAGCTCGTGCAGGAGCAGAAGAGGAGGCTCCATGGGCTTAATGGTGGTGGAGGTAGCGGCATCCGTGGTGGCAACAGTGGTCGTTGGCGCCTTTGTCGGCGGCGCTGTCGGCTTCGCGGTGCCCTCAACTCTCCGCGGTTTGGCTGTCGGCGCGACGGGCGCCTTGAGTTTGGCGGTCGGGGCTGCTGTCGCCACGCTTTCCCGACAGCCCACGGCGATGTCCTTGGACACCAGCACGTCCTGCAGGCTCCGCCGCTCCCCGTCCACCCTCAGGTCGCGTAAGCAGCCGCGCAGCGACCCGCCCGTTCCTCGGCTGCTGCCGCCCCTCAGCGAGGCCAGGCCGTTCCTCCGCGCCTCTGCTCTCGTGCTGGAGTCCACGCCGCCGATGAACAGGGGCTCACCGCTGCGCCGCAGCTCCAGGAACTTGCGGTTGTCAACCACCATGAAGCTCTGTATCACGGTATAGTTATCCACCCTTAACGTGACATGCGAGGCGGTGAAAGAGAAATGGACGTGGTGCCAGCGGCTGTCGTTCACCCTGGTCTTGGGACTTATGACCACGGTTCTTTCGCCGACGTTGAGGAGTGACCACAAGCGGCCCTCGCGTATTTCGAGCGCTGCAAACGGAGGATCTTTGCCCGCCCGGAAGTGGTAGAGCAAGATGCCGCTCTTGACACCCACGCGCACCTGGAACTCAAAGACCACCTTGCCGCTGTCCCCCCAGACGGGTGGGAACGCCAAGTATGACCACGGGCTGAAGAAGCTGATGGGATCATCGGGGTTGGCCTCGAACTCAGGGCTGCAGCCTGCCGAGACCTCGTGCACCGTCTTGTGACCGGCGTACGACCGCAGGGACGCCAGAATGTCGTGCCCATTGAACACCGCTTCCTCCACGCAGCCCCTGAAGGACTGCACGCCTCCGCGGCCGGTGAGGTAGGGCCGCTCCAGGCTGCCAGTCCCACCAAGCAGAAGGCCGTGCTGGATGTTCAGCTCCTGCAGCTGACCTGGGAGGCGCGCTGAGCTGGGTGCGCGGCCGTCCACCGTCATGGTAACCGCCTCCCCCTTGCGCTGAACTCTCACGCGGTGCCACTCCAGGTCATTCATGCGCAAGCCGGGCTCGGTCCTTAGCACGCCCTCTCCGGAGCCGAGCTCCATTCGCAGCTGCATCCGTGCAAGACATACGAGGAAATGGGAGAAAAAAAGAACATAAAACGTAGATTGCAAAAAAAACCGTTTAGAGCATCAGTGTAGTAGATTGATAAAATATTCAATGCCAGTTCAACGATCCATTCCCGAATACTGAAGAGGTGTGTGTTTTCGTTGATGTTTCAAGTTAACAATATCTACAATACTGTAATTTGACTTTACAGTATTGTAGTTTGTCACCGTTCCATCCCAGACCCCCTGGACTTGGCATACGCCTTTGAAAAGTGGACGGCGAACATGTGCCCCTGCCAATAAGTGTGCATAGGTTATTTTTAACTCACTGGCTAAAAATACAGTTGCAGATCAGTGGGAGTTCGCCGCAAAGGTTCAACAATGTCAATGTTATGGAGGCCTATTTTTCACGGACTCTCCCTCGACTGTGGATTGCTATTCCATCCATTAAAGATGTTCATTTCTGCGAGTGTAAGGATGGAACACCTTTGCCACTAAACACTACTGCAGATTCACCTTTACATGTCAATGTTGGTAATTGGATTGTTAGCGCACTATCCTATGAATCCAGCGAGCTAAGTTCGAGTCTAGGTCCATGGCTAACATCAATGGTGATATTTTAAGCAGCCTTGTGCAACCGCATCACCAGTCCACGTTGATGAGCATGGCCAAGTACGGTCAAACACTCTCCATGACAAATACGGTATGGGAAGGCCTTTGCAAATATCTAAACATTCTTATTTTAAAGGACAATTAATCTTCATTAAGCATGTCATTCTCCCTCACAGAGAAACTGTGAATACAGAGATGAAAGGCAACACATTTTCTGGGATCCGAACGATCTATTCGTGAGAGATCAGATGGCGGACAACGCAAAGCTGATCCTTGAAATGCCGTTTTTGAATCTTATTTCAAGGTGTGTGTTTTAAAGCAGTATGAAGAGAGTGCTTTACAAACGATCAACAAAGCGCTATCAATTGTTAGAACGAGACAAAAAAAAGTGTTTCAAGGCGTGCAATGATCCCTCAATCGCTTACAAGGTTTCACCTGTCATCGGTACTCACAGCTTTCCAATGCATTAAGTCAGCCCAGATGTTTGTGCGAGATTAGTTCATCATATCGTGCTGTGCTGCAGAAACAAAGATGATCCCCTGCTGTGGGTGGGCTAACTAATTTGCTCACTACACATGTGTAATAAAGATTACACCCCTCGATTTTGTAATTTAAGGTGGCCGAAAATATTACGTACATTCTAAAAGTCTGAAGCAAAAACAACACAATAATCCCAGCCTATACTGTATGTTGCAAGCACAACAACAGCAACGTACAAATTAGTTTATTTTCCTGTAAAAACAAAAGCACTTTCCCAGGCGCCCACCTGCAAGCGCCCGGCGCGTAGCTCCAGCAAGCAGTAGTCGCTGCTGCCTGCGGCCAGGAACAGCAGCGCGTTCCGCTGGTGCGTGCGGAAGCGCAGACTCAGCTCCGTTTGGTCAGACGCCTCGGTCAGCAGAAGCTCCACGTAGCTGTCTCCGAAGAACGAGGCTGCGTGCACGCAACGCACGAGAGTGGCTTGAACAACGCACGAGAGTGGCTTGAACAATGCACGAGAGTGGCCTAAACAATGCATGAGAGTAGCTTGAACAACACACGAGAGCGGCTTGAACAACGCACGAGAGTGGCTTGAACAACGCACGAGAGTGGCTTGAACAACGCACGAGAGTGGCTTGAACAACGCACGAGAGTGGCTTGAACAACGCACGAGAGTGGCCTGAACAACGCACGAGAGTGGCTTGAACAACGCACGAGAGTGGCCTAAACAATGCATGAGAGTGGCTTGAACAACGCACGAGAGTGGCTTGAACAACGCACGAGAGTGGCCTGAACAACGCACGAGAGTGGCCTGAACAATACATGAGTGTGGCTTGAACAACGCACGAGAGTGGCTTGAACAACGCACGAGAGTGGCTTGAACAACGCACGAGAGTGGCTTGAACAACGCACGAGAGTGGCCTAAACAATGCATGAGAGTGACTTAAGCAACGCATGAGAGTGACTTCAACAACGCATGAGTGACTTGAACAACGCATGAAAGTGACTTGAACAACGCATAGAGTGGCCTGAACAACGTATGAGATTAGCTTGAACAACGCACGAGAGTGGCTTGAACAACGCACAAGGGGGCACCTGGTTGTACATATGCTTTTAGTGGCATTTTTTAAAGTTAAAGGCCAATAAGATTCACCATCTCATTCGCAAAGGGGGCATGTGTAATAATTAACAAAAATATGTATAGCATGACGCTAATATTATACTGTAATGACATATTTTTTTCCAGAAATCTGATTGGAGAATAAAATATTAACCGTCACAAATGAATAATGACATTCATTACAACACATTTTTCCCCCATTTATGCGTATTGGGCTTACTTCAAAACGTGAAAGGGGATTTTCGGAACACACTGTATATTAATATAGTACAGCTACTATATTAATGCACAGTACTGTATATTTATCTGCAGGCATCTGCTTATCATAACAAGATCCCTGGGTGATATGTCTCTCTGCAGCATACTTTAGCCTTTTGTTGTTTTGCCAACGTTTGAAGTGGAACTTTCACATGTAATCAGCAGTCAGTCACGGAACACCACACCTCTTCTAGACAGACCCATCATTGTGTGCACACCAGTTGCTTCACACACGTCTCTCACACAGCTCTGGCACAGTGCATTAACGAGGTCACAGTGGACATGCCAATTCAATTGAAGATGCTTTGTTAAAATATACACACCTCGAAAGATAATTGCAGTGACATTTTGCATTTTTTTCATCAGATTGGAAAGCTTTACGGTAATCACATCACACCTATACGTGTGAATGAGTACAGCACCCTTTATGCTCTTTTGAAAAGCTTCTGAAAATCAGTTTCTGCTCCCACACTTATTCGGCAATATATGTTTGAATACAACTGCAATGTAGCAGGTCAATTAGCGTTTCAACTGCGTTTAGAAATGTCATTAATTCACTGGTTTACTTGCAGAATGACTCATTCGCCGCCCAATTTAGCAACGGAGTTGTTGCAAGAACGTTCACAGCTGAGGCTCTGGAGAAGTCGGTTCTTAGCCTGGGGTGCACGCTGCATCCCCTGCAGGTGCGAGATGCCCTTTCTGGGGGTGCGAGACGTGCAGATTTTTTTTAGAAGGCAAATCATCGAAACAACAAATTAAGCACGTAAGTGCAACTAATTTTCGATTTAAAGCTTTCGTGACTGCAAGGATTCATCTTCTTTGGTTATTTCGGTAAAGTAATGTAGAATGAGAATAAAATAATAAAATAACAAAATAAAATTCTCACGACGTTTCGGCCACAACGCAAGCGGCCGTCTTCAGGTGAAAGGTACAGACCTGTCGGGACGACAGAGCTTCATTCTACGTGACTTTACCGAAAGAACCAAAGAAGATGCAACTAATTTGTTTCAACAAACCCTGTATATTTATTAACATAATGCATGTTGTTAACGATTAAGAACCAAGGCTGTAGAAAAGGTTAAGAACCACTGCTCTAGAGCGAAAGGTAAAACCGCTGATCTTGTGTTGCATGCCAGGAAGGCATAGTGGGGGTGTCTGAGAGTGTTTAAAGGGTGGAAGGTGGAGAGAACTGTGGTTAACGCATTCCTCCCATTCATAGTTCACACCTGTGCCTCCGTGGGCCCCAGGAATGCTGCCGCCGTGGCTTTCCAAAGTTCCCCAAACACGAAGCAACCAAGCTGGACACAAAGGGAAGGCCACGCGATCCTCGTCGTTGCAACCCCCCCCACCCCCCCGATTTGCCGAACGAAATGGTGCTGCGTGAAAATCTCGGCGAGCTTCTAGAAATGTATCACGAATTGAGAAGGTGTGCTGTCTTAGATATATTAGTCTCGCACAATTCGAGTGGGGCCTCATACTTGGCACGATATTTATCACTTTTTTATGGACTGTAAAATGTACAGTTGTTTTTATTGCAGTGGCTGGGCACGGAGCCGGAGGCATTCAAGGCAAAGTGGGCAGCGAATGAAGAGTATTCCGGTAAACATAGAGTAGTATTAAAGGATACATTTAGTTTGTATTGAGCAAAGTTATAGGAACATATGTATCAGTGAGTAAGAAAGCCAGAGACCCCATGCTTGCAGATGAGGGCAGACACCGCACGGCAGCAGCTTGGCAAGGAACGCCTGATGCCAGACACGATTGCACGCTTTAGAAAAGTCAAAAGAGATAAACACGGATTCTCCAACATGCTCACAACACAAGAGGTCCAGATATGAGTTCCATTGGCTAACATACTTACACAGAAAGCATGCTCGTTGGAAATTTTACTGATGGTCATTCACAATTGATAATAATGACTCCAGGTGATAAAGAATCTCTTTATTATTGACAGATTCAGGGGCAAGACAATTTGGAATCACAGGAAGTGGATCGCCACTCACACAAGATGGATCGCTCTTTTCTTTAGTTGGCAAGAATTGAGATAACTTGCAGATTGTTGGTGCAATATATCTGCAGCATGAGAGCTCGACGAGCTAATTCATAACTGACGCATGTTCTTGAGTAAACATGTTAAGCACAACACCTGGTATGACGTTAGGAACCACAAACTCTGGAATTTGTTATACTGTACTCAGACAGTACAGCGAGGCTTAAGTTGCTTCGTGCGATGGTTAGAATGAAACCACAGTTGGTAAGTTATAACTCTGGCCTTCATAACACGAGCGTTATGCAACATAATCGGCAATTTTTTCCCCTTTGCGTAAAAGAAAAATCACGGACCCAGACTCATCCATCGTATTTTAGTGGAAATTATTTTTTGCAGAAGTTGTTGGAGACTGCTGTGGCAAAGGAGGAGAAGGGGTGAAAACTTACGGAAATCAAATGCCAGGTTTTTGCAGGTGCAGTTGATAAAGTGGAACCTTGTATGCTTGATGACACGTTTCCATTTGTGCTTTTTCATCTTTGCATTTGTTAATCCAGAAAAGCCTCACCGACACTCGAGACTTGCATTAGAATGTTTGGCCGATTAAACTGAATTACCCAGAGATTACCTGTACATTGTCGGGGATAGAACTAAAAGTTCTGCACAGATGGATTCACAAACCCTTTGTTTCCATACTGCAAACATTGGTTGACATTGGGCCAATGTCCCACAAACGTTGACATGTTTACCATACACTGTACATGCCAGGACATAATTTGTAGAAATTATTAAATGGAACGGACAATCTTCATTCCGCTTGGCAACCCTCAATTGATCAGTTGGTTGAAATTCTACATCCACACTCAAGCTTTGCACAGATGGATTCAGGAACATTCTTGCCCTACCTCGTACTCTCTTTGTACAGCACTTCTGAACACGTATCACAGTTTTAACTGACACTAAACTATTGCAGGAGAAGAGAGTGCTGCTAAACTTAGCACGTGTCAGCTTCCTTACTCACTCAACCATCACCACCAATGTCAGATGAAGTTGCTCGAGAGCAGTGCAACTAATTTAAACATATTTAATTGCAGGCATGCAACAACAACAGTCACGACATACGTACAAGGCCCATATCTGAGTGTTTAGTTTTCGGTTTATTAGCCAGCAAAGATGACCTAAGCCTATGACCGAATCACACGGAATGCACCCAGTCTCGTTAGAGCTCACAAGTAGCAGCTGGATTTTGGCCTGGATAGTGCTTGGATGTGTGACCACCATGCACAAACGGCTTGTGATAGGCTCCGACGAAGAATTAGTTGTTAGCAGTAGATCGGTGAAGGCAAATCCATTGCTGTTGCTGTACTGCTACGTTCTCGTGTCTATAATGACTGGCTTCACTAACCCGCACTGACCAGCGTGGTGAAGTATGGTCGATAAACCCTCCCTACAAACCCCACGGCGCGGAGAGTCCCTCATCCAGCAGCGTATTGACAAAGGGGCGTGTGTGTGTATGTGCACGTACAGAGGTGACCAAAATGTCCTCAATTCTAACTCGACAGCCAGTAAAGTTGACTGCAACGTCTGTGAATGACCTCCAACTCTCGACAGATACAGCAAACGACTCCCGTTGGTTCTCGGGTTGCCACGCGTGTTGTTGGGCAAGATGCCCCGAGTTCCACTCCGCATTACTGGGAGCTTCTTCAGGAATCGAAAAGGCCGACATCGCGCCGACCAACACGAAAACACGATCCCGACTGATATTCTGCAAAACCCATAGCCTTCATCAGACTGTTGGGGCAAGTGCTGTTAGCGAGCACCTATGAAGGCCGACACACGAGAGGGTGGGTGGCCAGCACCACGGCCGCCTTTGTCTCCCTTGCTGTCGGATGTTTACACACCGCACCAGGTACTCATTTGAGGCTGAGTCGACCCAGAGGAGGCCCATAACCGGTCTCTGATGTTGGCCGTGAGCGGGAACCGAACTCGGGCGGCTGGGTTAGTAGCGCAGCGCGCTAACCACTACACCACCGCTCCCCCCGACAGCACCACCACCATCAGCACCACCCGAACCACCAACAAGGCGAACCAGCAAATGTGACCACAACACCACCATCAGCACCTTCACCCAAAACAACAAGGCGAACCAGCAAATGTGACCACAACACCACCACCATCATCAGCTTCACCCGAACCACCAACGCGAACCAGCAAATGTGACCACAGCACCACTACCACCATCAGCACCACCCGAACCAACAAGGCGAACCAGCAAATGTGACCACAACACCACCACCATCAGCACCACCCGAACCACCAACAAGGCCAACCAGCAAATGTGACCACAACACCACCACCATCAGCATCACCCGAACCAACAAGGCAAACCAGCAAATGTGACCACAACACCACCACCACCACTACCATCAGCACCACCCGAACCACCAACAAGGCGAACCAGCAAATGTGACCACAACACCACCACCACCATCAGCACCACCCAAACCAACAAGGCGAACCAGCAAATGTGACCACAACACCACCACCACCCGAACCAACAAGGCGAACCAGCAAATGTGACCACAGCACCACCACCATAATCAGCTTCACCCGAACCACCAACGCGAACCAGCAAATGTGACCACAACACCACCAACACCATCAGCTTCACCCGAACCACCAACGCGAACCAGCAAATGTGACCACAACACCACCACCATCATCATCAGCTTCACCCCAAAACTCACCACCCAGCGAAGGGTCGCTCTGGCTCAGCACGGTGACCACGGCGAACGCGAGAAGAAGACTCCGACTTCTGGCCGAGCGTTGTGAGCCCATGGCTGGCGTCTTGAGACGTGGGCCGGGAGGGAGGGAGGGGTACAGCCCTCTCCTCCTCCTCCTGGCCGGGCGAGGCGGCTTCAGCCCCGGGTAGCTGCAGCCCGCGGCGGCGGGGTCGCTTCTGATCCTCCTCCTGCCTCCTCGTCCGCGCCGAGTCGCAGCGTTGCCAACTCCTCGTTAGGTCCGAATCGGAAAGTCACAAAAAGAAACTTAAAAATGAAAGGTCGCTCGATAGCACATTTATCTCTCATCCTTATCACCAGCGGCAGCAATCAGCTATGCTTGATCCACTGCTGGATAAAGGACTTCCCAAGTCGCCGCCATCTCTCGCGATGCTACGATGCACGAATCCCAAGCCGTCAAAAAGGACACAGTACTTTTGACAACCGACCACGGTTACCATCATCGCCACGACGCACCGCGCATCAACCAAACAAACACTGACGCGCTATCCTTCATTCAGCGCGTATCGATCCGGTCGGTATTCGCTCCCCCGGCCTCGATCATTGTGTTTGTTTGCAGCGATAAGCAGCCTTGGAAGTTACGTCTGCCGCTGGAGATGGAATAAAAAAAAGATGCAAAGCGCTAACATCTACAGCGACACACAAAAAAAGGTGGCCCGAGTCAACGTTGGAAGCCACCCCCAGGAATGCGGACACGTGACGTTGAAATCCCAGCCGGGCTCGGGTGGAGGGGTGCGGGGGGACACGCGCGGGGCTGTCCGGGTGGAGCCCCGCGGGGGGGCTTGGTGTAGACGGCGCACGTGGGTCAAAGGGGCCACTGGTGGCTACGCAAGGGGTCACCAAGAGGGAATGACAATAAGAGCTACGTTTTGTTGTTGTTTTGTTCGAATTGGGTAAAATACAATGAAACAATTCAGTATTTCGAGAGCCGCAATGTAGAAATACGAGACCGGCGGTGATCCTTCGTGCACAAGGTCACGGAGCGGCCCGCAGATTGTCGAGCCCTGGCAGTGGCGAGCGTGGGGCATGCAAGGGGGGGTGGGGGGTGCCTTGGCCCCCCTGGTGGCCAAAGCTACGAGTTGGGGGCCTCCTTAAAATCCACTGTTAGATGTTTTCAACAGCAGCGTAGAGAACAACAACACTGGATTAAAACGCGGCTTAAAACGTTTTTCGTGGTAATACTTTCATTTACGTTACACGTGTTATTTGAATTTAATTAGAGCGCTAACGTGTTTGGCGACCGTGCGAGACAAAATCGAATATTGTCGCACCAATAACCCCCTGAGCTGAGAGTGGAGCTGCCATGTCACTGGTGGGTCGGGCAGTGGTTCTTCACTGATTTTCAGACAGGGTGCCACTTTCACACAGATAAGACATCGTCAGTGTGAGGGCCGCCACACATTTGAAACCGTTGGGGTTTGACAGCAACGTGATGATGGGGGGGTGTTTTCCCATGCTGTGTATTGTCGGGCCCGCACTATGAAGAACACTCATAATAAAGGTGTTTTGGTTAGATCGCGTTATTATAAACGTGTCGCAACCTTCCACCACCTGACACGACCAATCAGTTAAAAATGTGTCACGTTAACAAAACGCCAATTAGTTATTTCTTCAGCCCACCAGTGTGTTTGAAGAATGAATCCACAACATTTAGAATTTGAGCACGACGAGTAATTACATCCAGCATCTTCAGGCGATTTGCCAGAATAGTGAAACCATCCACCTGCTTCCGATAGCCGTGTTGGGTGGTGGAGGGTTGCGACACAATCATAATAACGCGATCTAACCCAAAAACCTTTATTATGAATAATACTGGTCGCGAAAGCCTACGTGTTAAAATGAAGAACACTGTCAGGTAGGGGATCATCCAGCAAGGGGAAGAATGAGGGTAAGGGTAGCGACTATACACGGGCACTTGAGTTATACATGCAAGTTACTTTATAGGCGAGCAAATATGTATCAAGAGTATAATATCATAAAATGCTGGTATTGCATGCGGAGCTCTATAAGTAACCTCTGATGCCCCTATGGTTTGGAATTATCTTCCAACAGCCGTCCGTTTGATGTCGATTCCCTGGCCTTGTTCAAATCCGGGCTCAAATCCACGTTTTTCTCTGGTTACGACTGCCTGCCTGCCTGCCTCTATGTGTACAGAGGTTATACTTAGATCGTGATTTCAAATTATGTTGTACTGTACGAGACGTGTTGTCACGCACCTGCCTCACAATGGGGTTCTTGAGTAGGCTCCATTAACAATGCCTAATAAATTTTGATTTAAAGCTTTCGTGTCTGCAGTAATTCACATTCTTAGCTCTTTCGGTAAAGTCACGTTGAAGGGAAACAATAAAATAATAAAATATATAAAACAATAAAAATTCTCACGACGTTTCGACCATAACACAAACGGTCGTCATCAGGTGCGTCGGTTTGCATCAATTTATTTGTAAACGGTGTATTTATTTATTTATAATTTTAAAAAACGTTTGCGCCACGCGCAGCGATTTGGCAGTTTATTTAGAAGGGCGAGTCCATCTATGTTCTGAAAAGAGGAGGGGGGAGACGAAAAATTAATGTATGCTGTCTGAAAGCCACTGTAAGCGTGAACAATCAATTAAGACCTGAAATGGTCTATCAAATCCTTCCAATGATTGCTAAGCCAGAATCCATATGCTCGGTTGAAATTGTCTCTGTGCTTGTATATGTGGATAGCCTCATGAACGTTTGTGTTATGGTCGAAACGTTGTAAGAATTTTATTGTTTTATATATATTTTATTGTTTTATTGTTTCCCTTCAACGTGACTTTACCGAAAGAGCTAAATGCCTAATAAGGATAAATATACATGTAGCAGCCGACGTTTTGGGCAATGGCCCTTTCTCAAAAGCCATTGCCCGGAACGTCGTCTATAGTAATAATTTTTCCTCTAAAGGCGGTATTATTGATAAAAGTCTTCAGTTTTTGTTATTTGTGCTTGTTTACCGCTGACAACGCATTTTCATCAAATAATTTCCCGTATTTCTGTTGCTTTTGTTTGTAGCTGCTGATGATGACTTTACTTTGAGCAGTGCTGGATTAAGCTAGTGCGGGCCCTAGTGGCATATGTTATAAAGGGGCTCTAAATAAAAAAAACACGTAAATATTAAAACACATTTTTTTTACTTGCATAGTAAAGTAATTGTATTTTTTTTATTTGCTATACAGCCAGATGAAACTAAAAATCGCTAACTTTAAACACCCAGTCGTTCATAAAAAGTTGAAGGCAGTGTAGTACTATAGTTTTCGAGCAAGTGTAGAATCACTGAACCGGAATTGGTAGCTTGAAAGCATTTAGCGCGGGGCCCTTGAAATTGCGGGGCCCGTATATGTAGTAGCTACTACTACTACATATGTAGTAGCTATATGTGAATGAAAAAATACATATGCAAATGACAAAAATACAATATGTAGTAGTATGTAGCTACTTTTGCTACTGGGGTAATCCGGCACTGACTCTGAAGCTGAGTGGTCGCGTTGCCACCAGCTCAGCGTCTGCTGCCCACTGGCGCTGTCCGTCAGTGCTGCCACCTACTGACGATTGACGATCACGATTTCGCATGGCCAAAGAAGATGAACGTATCCCAGATTCTAATTAGAGTGCCCCGTATACGTTAAACAGCATTCAGTTCGTCAGCCTATATTGATTTGAGATCTCATGAACCCGACTGTCGATGAGATATAGAAGATTTAAACCGGCCCAGAGTGCATTTGCTTAAAACGCGGCTTTATTCAAACCTGGACTGCTGATGATGCACTGAATGTTGAAACGACGGTCCAGAGACCAGTGGCGAATCGAAGGGAGGTCGGGGTGTTAACCCTCGTCCCTCCACCTTGAGACACCCAATAAAAAATATATTTTATTGATAGTTACCAGGGTAACTGCGATTTAACGAAGGACCCTGAGGTTTGTTTGAAAAGGTCCGACGTTTTAGGACCGCCTCCCTCCTTCCCCTGAGTTTGGAAGTTTCGAGATCCCCCTGTGGTATTGCTTGCGTTGAACCAACGCTGATGAAATGATTCACTCAGAGGGGGGCCCGTGGATTAATTGGCTTGTGTGTAAAACAAACAACACACACTTTGACGTGCTTTATGTGCAGAGATAGATGTGTGGAGCGGGCGGATCGTCGCGTTGTCGTTCATCGTGAAGGTTTTATTGGGGTTAGATCGCGTATAAATGCGTCGTTAAACCCGTCACCACCCGACACACTTAGTAAGATTTGTTGCCACGTAAACAAAAACATGCCGATTAGTTACTAGTACAGCACACCGGTTGTGTGTTGGAGAGTAAGCCCACAACATGGCTGTGTAGGGTGGCGGCGGGTTTAACGACACATCTAACACCCCCCCCTCACCTTTATTATGGGCAATATTGGTCACGAAAGACTACGCGTTAAACTTTTAATTTTGACTTAAAACTGTTGTGACGGCAGGAATTCATATTCTTTGGTTCTTTAGGTAAAGTGACGTAGATATAAAAAATAAAAGTAAATAAAATAAAAACTACGACGTTTCGATCACAACACAAGCGATCGTCTTCATGAGGAAAAAAGACGATCGCTTGTGTTGTGATCGAAACGTCGTGGTTATTATTTTATTTACTTTTATTATTATTATATTTTTTTATATCTACGTGACTTTACCGAAAGAACCAAAGAACATGCGTTAAACGTTGTTGTCCCATACTCTTTGGTTCTTTCGGTAAAGTCACATAGGTAAGAAAAATTTAACAAAATAAAAATAATATCACGACGTTTTGATCGCAATTTTTTCCACTGCTGGATTATTTTTCCCGCCTGTGGACGACCGCTTGTGTTGCGATCGAAACGTCGTGATATTATTTTTTATTTTGTTAAAAATTTCCACCTACGTGACTTTACCGAAAGAATCAAGAATGTCATAATCTTGGTTCTTTCGGTAAAGTCACGTAGAAGGGAAATAATAAAAAAAAATATAAAACAATATTGTTTCCCTTCTACGTGACTTTACCGAAAGAACCAAGAATATGAATCCCTGCAGTCACGAAAGCTTTAAATAAAATTTTGTTGTCGTTTAAACATTTTGGCGCCATCGCAGCTTCACCTCACCCCCACCCCTCAAACCCCCCACCCCCGCCCCTCAAACACCCCCTCCCTCCCCGTCTCGCGAGCGGTGACGTCGCGCGCCTCGTGACGTCACGCGCCGCCGCCATCTTCTCGAGTACGGCAGCGGCGGCTCGGACGGTGAACGGCGACGTTGGCGAAGCGGCAGCGGCGGCCACCACCACCACCACGGACTTCCTTTGGGACAAGCACACGGGCGTTGCGGCGCACAAGGTGAGCGGCCGCTGAGGTTACTCCCGAGGACCCGTAGACGACGGCCTGTCGTGCGCCGATGCCTTTAATTCAATGCGGAGGAGGAGGGGAGATTTTATTTATATAAAAAACCCCCAGAGACGTCGCAGCCCTTAAAACTCAAAGATGGCGGCGGTTGGAGCGGGAGGGATCTCCTCGCCCTGCTCTCTCCTCTTCCGCCAACCGAAAATCAAAATGTTAAATTCTTAAACCTCAATGGAAACATTGTTTTTTTGTATAAGCCATTAAATAAAGCGGCTCGTCGCTCTGGGTTTTTTTTTTAGCATGCGAGCGAAGGTGGGGGTGGCGGAGTTGGCAAGGCTGCCGCTCCCCGTTTAAACCGCGG